AGTGGTAAATGTTTGTAGGTGTACGTATAGTCATTCGCTGCTTTAATCGCCGAAACAGTGGGCAGATGTCTCATAAACGATGAGCTAAGTGGATGAAGCTTGTCCCCTTCTAATGTCCCAATCTAATGGTGTTCATCGTAAAAGTAGCTGGCAATACTGTCCTCAAATTTTTTTTACAAAGGATCTTATGTGATTCCTATGGGATGTGTGTCCATGGAAATGTGAACCTACGATAGCTACCGAGACTGTGTTCAGTGCCATGTGTTCTAAACTTGATACATGAAATTATAATCGGTGAGGAAGTCGCCGCAATCCTTTAACACCCTTGAAGGTAACTCATTTCATCCGCTATACACTGGAACTTTAAGTTATTCATAGCCACCAGTCGAACAAATGACTCTTGAAAGCGGGCATCGAATCCTTCTCCATCGCAATGCTGCGGCATTATGCTGAAATGTGGCCATTCGAAAGCGCAATTAGTAAGTGTCAAGTGCCATGATGTAAACGAAGTAAAGCACAGACTGGCTGAGGTTGTCGTGAGCGGTTGAATGAGCAGTTGGCACCATTTTTATTGTCCCAAAGCTAAATGCACACTTACGTGTCAGGTTAAAAGAGCTTGACAGGAGAAAAGCTGTGAGTTTCAGATAGCTTTATATCGATGTCATTTTGGTCAAGCTATTCAAATTGCATCGAATATCGAAAATGCAGGAAGGTAGCAACAATCTTATTATTTGTTACGTCCTTACTTAATTCTACATTTTGGAAAATTAATGAAACTTACAAGCAGACATGATAGTATCTTGCCCTTGAACCTTGAGTCGGATTTACCAAGGTAAGAGTTCACTCCCTTCCATTACTAATGTTTGCACCAAAACCGTCTGTTGCGTTGTTTTCGTACTATTCCCAGACATCAAGGACATTAACAATGAAGTGACATCCTCTGCGCTCGTGGGATTTCTGCTTCTCTTCTTACTACTATAGTTTAAGTAAACTGTTTTGCCTTCAGCTGTGGGTGGGCATGCCGGCGTGGTACGTTGCCGCATGTCGAGCCAACGTCAAATCCGGCGCGATAATGGCCGCACTCTCTGAACAGGAAATTCAGAGAGAAATAGGCATCAGCAACCCTCTCCACAGACTGAAACTCCGATTGGCCATCCAGGAAATGGTCGCGTTGACCGCACCCACACCGACACCGAGGCCTAACACAAGGTTCGTGTCTTCTCCTATTGTGAGAAGCATAACTTCCTTCAATTTCGTATGAAGCAACCATTGAGTGCTCAAGTAATCATTGAATAGGACATCAATGACTGTACTTCAAATAAGACATCTTGATTCCTTTAATTTTTGAATGCTTTTCAGTGCTCAATGCTTTGGAATCAGACGACATTTAGCAAGATAAAACTTTAAATTGTAGAGTTTCATGAGATAAATTCTAGCAAGTTAATCATGTCGATCCACTTACGTTGGTTTGATTTATTCTCACAATTGCGCACCAATGTGCGAATCAGGCGCCTGCTTCATAATCCTCCCTTCTTCCATGCGGTAGAAAAGCTTAGAAAGTATGAAGCATTAAATGAATCTTTTTTAGGCTTAACCCTCCTCCTTTGCGGTAGAGGTGGCGTCTGCAAAGCCTTAAGTACTTTACGGCATTAATTTCTAACCTCTAAGATCTACGGTGGTCTTGCGGTATGAGTAGGGATTAGCAAATTATGCATTATTGCTTGCGCATTGAACAGCCGATTGGCGTTTGGAGACATGGATCATGAGTGGATTGGGAACGTGTGGCTGCCAGGCTTGGGCTTGGCACAATACCGACCAGCCTTTATGGAGTGCCTAGTGGACGCACGAATGCTAGATCACCTTACCAAACGGGATTTGCGCACCCACCTCAAGATGGTAGACGCAATGCACCGCACCAGTCTTCTCTATGGCATTGTTTGCCTTAAACGTCTCAACTACGATCGAAGCGAGCTTGAGCGGCGCCAGCGAGAGTGTCTTCACCGCGACAGCATTGGTGGGTCTCTACCTCCCTTTACTTTACTGTGCATTCTTCACTGACCTATTTAAACATAAAAAAGTATGCATGGTAATAATATTTGCCATAACTATCAGTTAGTACTCAATGGATGTCACCAAGTGGCAAATCTTTCTTCTTGATGTTTTCTGCAAGAGACATAGGAGGCATATTGGAACTCTAATCCCTGGAGGAAGAATTGCGATGCATCCATCGTCTTGAAGTATTTTTGCGTTTCCGCTTTGATCGAGGACCAACGAAAATTTCGGTGTTTTGCATTATTTTATGAACATACATACAGAAAAACGGAGTCTAAGAGATGATGGCTAACAGATTAAAGCAGGATAAAAGCAGCTGCATTGTAAATTGTTACTTTGTACCACTTACCAACTCACTAGTTGGTAAAGCAGTGAATTTCCATGGCCTTTCGCTTCCTCCTTCTGCGTCTAAGTAGCTGTGATGAAGTGCCAAGGCGTAGTGAAGTGATTTAAGTAGCCCAACTTGTCAACAAAGTTTTAAACAACATTCACCTGAATGATTGTGCTAAACCCCTTAATTATCGGATATGGAAAGTAATTCACAAGAAGCGGTAACTAAGGTCTGCATTCTGACACATAGTCGATTGTGCCAAGACCTGCATCATTCCAATCACAACTATCATGGACGCCTTGGTTTGCAATCAAAAAACATTTTAGTACTTTCGTTGAATAAGAAGGGTCAACATTGATATTGTCTACGAAACTACTGAATTGCGTTTCTGTAAATGTTCTGTTTCTTCAGATCTCTTAGTGTGGACCTGTGAACGGGTGCAGGCGTGGTTAGACCAGATAGGCCTACGGGAGTATGCAAGCCATCTAAACGGTTCGGGAGTGCACGGGGGCCTCTTGGGCCTACACACAGAGGTAGATGCGAACCAGTTGGCGCTGATCCTGCAGATCCCATCTTCGGCAACCAACGCTCGCCTCATTCTGGCTCGAGAGCTGGAGAGTTTGGTGCAGCGATACCGCGCCACTGCTCCCCTCGCCGCCGCTGCCCTCGGACCCGCGCCTCGCGTTCTTGCAATGGAGGCAGCGGCTGCTGCGGCCGCCCGCGCCCTCCCATCGGCCTCCATCGCCGGCTCTGTTGACGGTGAGAGCGGATCTCTACCGATCAACGGCGATGCCGACGTCGAAAAGTCCCTTCCAGCAGTTACAATGCAGTCAGCCGTTGAAAACCAACCACATCTTCCTACCTCCGCTATAGTAGGCTCACACCTGTTTTCAATGTCGTTCAGCATGTTCTGTTTTTGCATGCACTGCAAAAGTTGCGTTTGTTTAACCGCAACCAATTATATCTATATTTAATGTACCATTTGCCTTAAATGGGGCAAATCGAACTGAGTACGATCATCACAACTCCTAAAGTGACACAATTTGGGATTTGCACCTAATTTTATCCTGACTTTCACTTCATGCATGTGGCAGTGCTTCCGCTAGGGAAATTTATCTATTCAACGCTTGGTGGGATGACGTAGGGTGAGACATTCTAAGCTTATGTCCACCGCTGACTTGGTTTTAAATGTGGAATTAAGTGTTACTAAATGCCATGATCCCATTCAACCTCTCAAGGAGGAATCGGGTGGGAAGAGAACTATTTAACCAATCTACTCGCTAACTTCAACACATGCATAACTTCAATCACCTGCTATTTTGCTCAATTAAATTCTAAAGTCACCAATTTGTTTTCGTAAGCTGAATCCCCTTAAGGCCCTCACTTCCCCTTCTTTCCTTTCCCAATGATGTAGTCCCTGACTTTTATATGCCTAAAGATTTAACTATACGATCGAAAACTGGATAAAGAGAAGTATTTTTTTTCACTTTAGGCCACTTGACAGCTTATACCAAAGGATTGTTATGTATGCCTCCAATTTTTAAACTATTTCAGCGATCACACTGCTAGCGAATTGCAGAGCATTATTTGCGAGGTAAGAACGGAGAAACTTGAGTGTTCACTGCAATTGCTAGCCTTTTATTATGTGTGTGTTTGCTTCTCTAACCTCCAGTCCAGAGGAGTGGGGATTGGGCACAAAGTTCACCGTCCATTTTAATAGGAAAAAAACGAACAGGATTGTTTGCACGCATGCATTACTGCACTTTGCTTGCTTGTGGTAGTCCTAAAATTGCTTCCTTCTTACGGGTCTCTCCTCAGCTAAATCTAGTGGAATCCTCCGATCGAGCAGGCCAGTCATTTGTGCAAATGTGAAGACTAATACTTGTTATCGCATGGCTTATTTTTTGTTAAATGTGTTTCACACTTTGGAATATTCGTACATTTTATTTAAAGTCTGACGCTTTCACCCTTATCTGAATCGTTACAATGATGAAGCAAGATGTGTGCAAATGTCTTCTCATATATTTTCCTTCTTTCTTCTGCGGCACAGTGCACTAGTAAAAAGGAATCTGACCGAACCTATTTACCTCTCTTTGTCAAGCTTGCCTCAACAGCGACTCAAAAAAGCCACAGCGGTGCAGAGCCGACGACCGATGGTCAAGAGGATGAAAATCCCACCACCACCGCCACCACCACCACCACCACTGCATCTGTCACCACATCCTCGACTTTAACACCGACAGTCTCTGCCATCGGCGCAACACCAGCTACACCGCTGGCGGGCCAGCGGGCCAAAAAGGGCGCCGCCCCTCCTCCCCCTTTGATATCTGCCCAGGCAAGGTCAAAGACGTAACCGGTGTCTGCGTCTTTTCCCGCCCATTTACATTCTCACACACATCCCCTCGTGCATTTGTGTTCCTATCCAAGTTTTTGGCAGACTGCATTTGATCATCGTATGCATGCTAATTCGCATTGTAAATAACCGCAAATACACGCACATACACACGCAATTGCCCCACTTATGTACTTGGGTCATCTTCTCGATCCACAGCCACATCAGCTGCATTTTGCAACTGCGTTCTCACTCTTCTTATTTTCCTTTTAAATTGGCGAACTTCTTACATTCTCCAGTTTCCCTTCTATCCGCCCCTCCACGCAATACTCATTACTTCAACTACCTGTTTTTATTAGTAAATATTTACTATAGACAGTGCAAATGAGAAAAGGGTTCGTCACTGAAGTCTGACTGATTCGTCATTCTAATTAAAATTGTTATACGATGACTCGTCTTAGTTGTTCGACTACTCGTTCCTTTCCCGACTTTAGCATTGTCCGGTTGATCTTTAAAGTCTGGAACGTAGAAGATCACATCGGAGTATTTTTGAATATTTCTAACGAAACTCTAGAATCAAATCAGGTGAAATTGTGAGTCCAAAGCTGCAGTTGTACGTAGGACTAAATCTAGTCCAGATAGGTTGCGTGAGTGCTGCAGATGTAAGGCTTTCTTGTTTCATTTTTGAATTCCACCTCAGTCAGTGTGGTTAGGGAGATGCTCTCGTAAGCTCTAATTGGTGAAACCGAATGGTGGAAGCGCTGCACCGCGGCGCGGCGAGCATTACCGAAGGACCTAGGCGTAAAGTGATTGAACTATCGGATTTGCAGAATATCGCCTTTTTTGAGTTGACATATTTACTAGAAAAAGGAGTGCTCTAGGATGCAGTAAAATGTGTTTTACATCTACAAAAACTAAAGTACTGAAGAGCTTAATTTGAGCGCGTTGTTGATAGTTGGTAAAGGGCGTGAAAGAGGAGGGGAATGTGTCCAGTAAAAGCGGTCGCTTACATGCAATGGCAAGCTGTTATTAAGCAAAAGCAGACACTCAAATCAAGAAACGGGATGCAGAACCCTATGCTCCTCACATTCACATAGAGACGCTAAAAGACCTTTATTTGGCTGCCTCGATATCGGTAGATCAAACTTCTACTGGCAGAAGCTGACAGCGGATTCAGCTGCCCCTCTGACACTTACCTTCGCCTCACTAGGTTTCTCTACCTCCAATACACTTTTTCTTTCCACAATTCTCCAGGTAATTGAATTTTCCAGAAAATACTTAGCACTTTAAATTTGATGGCTGGTAGCATCAAACATCGATATGTTGGAAGAAGTGTAGAAAACTTCACATAAAGTACTTCGAAGTCTTTAGATTTAGCTTCATCAAGTTTCTGCATTTTTGGTGCAATGCTGCAAAATGTTTCGCAAGGGCTGATTTTTGGCGATGCTAATGGCACTGGCATCAGCTTTTGAATGTCCTGCCAAGACGGCTAAGCCGAAAAGTCAATGAAACACAAATGACCCAATCCCCAAGTATGCAGATACGCATGCTCCTTTGAAATTCCAAAACCCAAGTATGACACCCTGGGCATGCGCACTGCTTCATTAAAGGTGTGATGTACGAGCAATCACAATGTAACGCTTTGGCGATCTTCCCACTCAACAGGATCGTTGTGGAACTACGGCTATTATTTTGCACATTTTATCGCAAGAGATAAGAGCTCCAAGGGTGTACTAATAAATTGGGCATCTGAAGTCCTGCTTACTTGTGGATAAAGAAATTCTGAATTGCATAGTGTGTAAAGGCAAGTACCCTTGACCTATGAGTTCCCGCAAGGCATTCATTTACCAAACATTTGAAGAAAGTGGAACCACCAACTACCTACATCATCATTTCTCTTCAGAACTGTGGATATCCATCTTCCTCCGTCCCTATGTCCAGTCTTCTCTACTTCGGGCGCCACGTGTGCTTTCAACGTGTCCACAGTGTCAGCGTGGACTGCCCCAATTGGTGCACCGGACGGGATTGTTTGCGTGGCAATTGACGCACGTGGCTAAAAGCATAGCGCAAATCTGAAAAGTGGCACGCTTATTTTTATGCCAATCCTCCGAAGACTTCTGAATTTACTGCTCCCTTCAAAGGTTCTCAGGTAAATTTCTCTAGTGTACCAACGTAAACGGATCTCCCCCTCAGTAGAGTTAGAAGATAACAGATATTTTGTTCCCTGATTTACATTGGTGGTTTAAGTCGATTCATATCGACGCAATTCTCGAACACTCCATTCTCTCCAGCAGCAAAGCAAAGTTCAATAAGTGACGTAATGCTGTATCTGGAACTGTAATTTTTGGCATAGAGTTAAACTTGACGAAAGTGTCTAAGGAGTTTCAGAATCGG